TAGAAATTTTCTTTTTCTTTAAATAGCTCCCCCCAAAGGTCCCATTTTGGGCGGAACTTCCTAGTTAAACTCTTCCAAATTTTCTTCTTCAGCCTCTGCTCGAAGGGCATTAATGACTTCAATTTTTCTCTTTTAATTCGGACATTCAGGGCTGTAGTGTCCTCTTTTGTTACAGGCCCAACATAAAATTCACTACGAGGTCGTTTTGTCTCAACTGCTGAAACTTTTTTTGGGGTGAATATCTTTCTGACAAACTGTCTTGGTCTTTGTCCCTCGTTATGTCTGTTTCCCCTCTTATATCTATAATGGTCAACCTCCATTGGTTCTTCGGTGAAGGTTGCCGGGGCTAAAATAATTTCTCCCAGTTCTTAACTGAAACCTTTGTTGTAAATCAAATTCGGCTCGGGCAAAATTAATTGCATCCTGCATAGTAGCAGGATTATCTCGCATGACCTTTATTTGAATACAGACCATCGACAAAGAACCCAACAAGTTGGTTTTCTATGACTCGCATATCTTGAGCACCTTGATATATGCTTCCTCTGCTATGGAGAGCAACTTTCAGCAAAGATCTGTACATTTTCAAATTTCTCTTGCTTAACTTGTCTCAGCAGCATAAAAGCATGCTGCGAATCTGTAATTTCTGCAAATCTCATGGAGAGTTCTGCTTTCAGGGTATCCCATTCTACCCTCTGATTGGTTTTGAAATACCTTTGAATAAAATCACTGACCGCCCCTGTACTAGTTTTGAAAGCTATCATTTTTACATTTTCAGCAGGGACCCCACTAGAAAAGCATGTTTTTCAATCGCTTTAATCGATCTCTTAAATAATTTTGGGTCCCCATCAAAAGGTGTAATTTGATTAGCACCCACATTTTGATTTAAAGTGTCCATCTTTATTTAAAGACCCTTTACAGCAGTTATAAATTCTCGCACAGACATTTTTACAAGAGATTATGGCAGAGAAAATAAATACTTATAGATCGGAGAAGTTTCAGTTTTCAAATTTCAGTGGTAACCCGTTCGAAACTAAAACCAAATCCTGGTCACGGCACCAAATGAACGTTTATAACACAATGCTTTTTATTTGGTTATATATATATATATATATATATATATATATATATATATATATATATATATATATATATATATATATATATATATATATATATATAGGGAAAATGTTGTAGAAGTCCATGGTATAGGTTAAGTTATAAATCAAAATTAAATCCAAGATAAACAAACAAGTTTACGTTTAATTTTTTACACTAAGCGCTTTCGCCGTTACGGCTCTTCAGAGTGTAACAATGATAATAAAAACAATACAACTTCGTTGTTATGACGTCGTTATTATGACGTCACAAAGGCAGCGTTATACATTGGCACAGGTAAATGTCAAAAAAGCGCCAAATGTATAGAGTTAAACACATGTACATTGTAATAAAATGGAACATTTCTTTAGAGCTAAAATGTTCAATTTACATTTAATTTAGGCTGAAATAATTTAACAAAATAATCTTCCTTGGCCCTCCGTAATTGTTCATTATCTTCTGTGATTTTATAAAATGGAAATATCAAAAAGTTTCCATTCGCACATGAATCAAAATGTTCACTGCAAGGTGTACTCTATGCCAACTTGTACCAAGTTATGTAAGGGATGATTTGGATTTTCTCGGCCACATTCCAGATACAGTTGAACTAAATACTGAGATGGTTAGTTTTGATGTAACGAGCCTCTATACCAACATACCGCATACACTTGGACTAGAAGCAATCGCTTTTTGGATTGACAAATACCACAATCAAATTCACGAAAGATTTTCTAAAGACTTTATTCTAGAAGGAATAAAAATAGTATTAGAGAATAATCATTTTGTTTTTGACGGGAGAAATTTTCTACAAATTAAGGGAACAGCGATGGGCACGAAAGTTGCCCCAACCTATGCAACCCTAGTTCTCGGTTTTTTAGAAGAAAAACTGTTCAACGAAACAGAGAGACGATTTGGAAATCCTTTTGCGCAATACATACGATTTAATTGGAAACGATACTTAGATGATTGTTTCATTTTTTGGACGAGATCTACTGAGGATTTACAAGAATACCATACCATTCTTAACAATCTTCATCCTTCTATTCAATTTACCTTGGAAAAGAGCAGGTTAGAACTACCCTTTTTGGATATTCTTATAATTAAGGAGGGTCGCAAAATCATAACAGATTTATACTACAAGAAAACGGATTCCCACCAATATCTCGTATTTAATTCTTGCCACCCGTCACACGTTAAACGTAACATACCTTTTAATATGGCAAGACGTGTTTGTACCATTGTCATAGATGAAACCAGAAGAAATGGCCGTCTACAGGAATTAAAAACATTTTTGCTCAGACAAAAATATCCTAACGACTTAATAGATATAGCAATTGAAAAGGCCAAGTCAATACCGACTGCAGATCTCCGTTCTACTAGACGAGGACGCCAGGAAAACAATAAGGAAATCCCGCTGGTCGTTACCCATAACCCACGGAACCTTAATATATATAACTCCGTAAAACAGTGTTTTCCTATTTTACAGCAATCCCAAAATTTAAAGGAATTAATTGACCCGAAGAGCATCATCTATAGCCGACGCCAACCTCCAAACCTAAAGAAACTCCTAACAAGAGCCAGATTCTCATCGGATGAGGAAAAACGCACTGTAGCCAAATGTATGGATCCCCTGTGTGGAACCTGCCCTTATTTAAAAACCGGAGAAAATTTTACATTTAAATGTGGTAAAACGTTTACCGTCAATACGAATATGTCATGCAAAACTAGAAATTTAATATACTGTATGACTTGTACTTCATGCGGGGAAGACTATATTGGACAGACCGGTAACAAACTAGCTGACCGTGTAAGAGTCCATAAACAACAAATACGAGACCCCTCCGTCAGGAATACACCTTGCAGTGAACATTTTGATTCATGTGCGAATGGAAACTTTTTGATATTTCCATTTTATAAAATCACAGAAGATAATGAACAATTACGGAGGGCCAAGGAAGATTATTTTGTTAAATTATTTCAGCCTAAATTAAATGTAAATTGAACATTTTAGCTCTAAAGAAATGTTCCATTTTATTACAATGTACATGTGTTTAACTCTATACATTTGGCGCTTTTTTGACATTTACCTGTGCCAATGTATAACGCTGCCTTTGTGACGTCATAATAACGACGTCATAACAACGAAGTTGTATTGTTTTTATTATCATTGTTACACTCTGAAGAGCCGTAACGGCGAAAGCGCTTAGTGTAAATAATTAAACGTAAACTTGTTTGTTTATCTTGGATTTAATTTTGATTTATATATATATATATATATATATATTAATTATGTCACTGTTGCACAATATAGACGTCATGCATATACAGTTAAAACAATGTTGTCAGCACAGTTACAGTTCTTATATCAGAGTTAGTACTTGACATATCCACTGGAAGCCAAACTAGTACAGGGGGGTACATGTGAAACGTTTATCTTAAGTTCTTGTTCTGTCCCTCGCCTATCCAGTCTTAGAATATATATCTTCATATTTCCAATCGTCAGATCCTGGTATTAGTTATTGGACATTTTCTAAATCATTAATGAAATTGTTCTGTTCAATTTACTTGTAGATTTTAATCAAGCGTCCAATTAAAACACTGATTGTGGTCAGTTAATATTATCAAGTCATTTCCAATTCAATTATTTATTAAATAGCAATCATGGATACTGACCACGTAAATGCTAAGATATTGATATTTGATTTAATTGTGATAAATCATCAACACTGACCAATAATATTTCACATTAATATTTACAATAATATTGACTACATTAAACACATGATAAGTAAATAGAAATAAAGTGCGAAAGAACCTAAATGGCTCTCAAGGACATATAAGGATCATTATGCCTTATACACATATGTCCTTACTAATCAAATATACGAAACACAACTTATATTAAAAAGGTAATACATTGTTTATTTATATGTACGGTATGGTCCAATTGTGTTACATTTTGCACAATGATTAGATTTTAAACTGTGAATCAGTTTTATGTTGAAAAAAAGGAAATGTGACAGAAATAATAACATTTCAATCATTTACATAAAAAATAATAAATCCTCTCTTTTATATTTAATTACATATAGCCTAGCATGTAAATGATAAAAGTGATTGAGACAGAGAATCTCTAACACTGTTCCTTATGAGGGAAAATTGATTGTCTCATACTCCAGGCAAAAAAATCAAAATATTTCTCAAACATATTTTGAAAAGTAAATACATGTAAAAATGCATCTTATAAGAAATAAATATTTGTGTCAAAGATCTGCTGAAATTATGCTATCAATCTAAAGTGCATGTGCATCACAGCCTGTTCTAAAACAAATATAGACTGCAAGGCCTAAAATGACAAAGACTTCACTTTCATGTTCAGTCTTCCAAATTCAACAAGACATGTATAGTCAATAAACTAAAGCTTAAATGTATATATAACGGTATATTTTAAAATAAGTAACAAAAGGGAGCCTGAAAAAATGAGGCTTAATATAGGACTATAAAATAATAGGTAATACTGAGAGGGAAAAATAGGAAGTATGTTTTCTGCCCAAAGGAAAATTTGTGTGTAAATGTCTCGACTCTCTGGACTTCCTGAACATCTCATAACCAAATTGTTCTTATAGCTATAGATTTATTTTATTACTCTTTCTGGTAAAACCTTTTTTTCTACAATGGTATCAACTAAATATGACAGAAACACTCTAAAATCTAGAGATACAAACATTATTCTAAGCTATTGGGCATTTTCTCTCTAATTTAGGTAAAAAATTGAAGATTGGCTAATCTTAATACAATAACAAAAATGACACATTAACTTCGTTATCACAAAATATACTATATCTATATTATGGAAGCCTATAAAAGAGATTAACTTGTGTGACATTCATTATCTAGAAACATCTTTAAGTGTCATTTCGTGTTCTGGTACTGGTGGTCCCACCTTGCTGTATGATGGTGTGTCCCTCTGGCGCTACTGATATTGTTGTATGTAAATATCTATCATGTTTATTTACAAAATCTCCTGCTCGGGTCGGGTTAGAAGATACCCTCTTCACAGATTTTTTACCTTCCGACTTGAATGTCTTGGTAAAAATTCCCTTCTGGATGAAGAGTCTGGCATTGCCAACTGCCTGTCTGGTGGTTCCCGGTGCACGAAGGTCACTCAGGTGGGCGGCGTATCCCTCACTCAGGACCTGTATATCAAAAAGGTTATCAAATTGTTCTGCGTAAAACAGTACGATAATAATTACTGGTACATGAGAATGACATAAAGGGTTTAAATAAATGTATTATCACTTCTTTCACAACGCTCCAAATATCAGGCTATCTTGATCAGAAATTATATTTAGATTCGATTTCCATACCTGAGCATGGGCCATGTGTTTCTCGGAGGACTTTCCCACTATATATATCTCTTGAGGAGTGAGGCCTAGCTCCTTGTACACATAGATATCCTTGTTTGAGCAATAACCTGCCTTAAACAGCAGCTGAGCCTACAAAAAAGAGTTGTATAAGATGACAATTTATATACATGTACAAGCTACCAACTTGCAAGACTAAATGCATGTTTATCGTTAATTAGTACTCAATGAATATGTCCACAGGATTTAACTAGATACACTGTAAAAGCCATATTTTCCCACAAAATAATAGGTCCTTATCCAACAAATCACCTTAATTCAGCTAGAAAAACTCTCTAACATAATCCTCTGTTATAATCCTGACTGACCCCCTCCTGTACACTTACCTCGGATTGGAGGGATTTGAGGTAAGCTAGTTTCAAAGGTTCCTTTGACAGACCATCCATAAATACTACCATTCCATGGGGAAAGTTATGCATTGCAAGCCAGGAGACAACCTTTTCATGTTGCACGTCTGGGCGAGCTGTTACGTACAGGATCAGGTAGCCATGCTCCTGCCAGTGTCTGGTTCCTTTCATAAAAATAACAGCCAGTGACTGCTAATAAAGATAAAAGCTACATTAACTAAAAGACTTAAAAATTTTGTCATGAATGGAGAATAAGAAATCCTTTTTTCGAATACTTTCATTTAGCTTCCTAAATCCTACAGAAGAACTTGCTTTTAGTTGCCTAATATTACAGATAGCTAATAGCAAGCACTACCTCTATTAAAATGTTCTTACTTTAAATAGCATTGGAACTTATTTATTGGGTCAATTTTCTTGTTACCTGGCAGTGCTAGTCAAATCTTCTGTGTTCATGCAAGACTCCAAAATATTACAAGCTATTAAACAAATCTCTACACTAACCTGAAAACATCCACCACCCCTGGTCTAACTTTTGGATCCTTCCCTGAGATAATGATCTATTATCTCTACACTAACCTGACAACATCCACCACCCCTGGTCTAACTTTTGGATCCTTCCCCGAAATTGACATACTGGCCGTGATGGAGCCATCAATACTGAATACAACTGTCTCTGTTTTAGGGGGAAGGACACACAGGTAAAAGTCGGCTGAACTGTGGTCACCCCTAAAAAATCAATAAGAAGTATAATATGGTTGATAAATTCTGCAAATTTACAATTTTTTCCTAATATGTTTGACAATGTGACAGGATGGGTGAGTGGAACTGTCTATGTCTTCATGGATACCATCAAAACACATTTATGGCAGCCAATCTTTTTCAATTGTATAATCTTGGTGGAGAGTTACCCACAGATATTGATCTCACAGTAATATATATTGATTCAACAGTAAATCAAATTAAAATTTAGAAGAAGCGTTTTTTCATATTTCTACTATTGCTGTACCTGACCACTACTTTGACTGGATGCATCCCCTGTGGGAGACTTTTACTGGCTGGAATTGTAAACTGAAGTTTTCCATTTTTATCTGTTACATCAGTTCCCATGTACTGCCATTCTCCGTTGAGTTGGTCCATCACATGAACATCAACCTTGCAGAAAAATTCAACTTTCTCAATCTATCTTATATCAATACAATAAAATTACATGTCTTCATACTCAGGCACCTTAGATTAATATTTTGATAGTAATACTCATTGAATAGACTGTCTGTCCCTGACTATGTTTCATTCTGTTGGGAATTTCCAGTGGATAAATCACATTAAGGTTTAATGATTTGAGATATTTTTAATCATTATTTTAAAGATTTAGCTGATAGTTCACAACGATGGATGGATAGATTTAAGTTTTTTTGATGCCCGAGTCATAAAAAAGTTATGTAAAGGTATTTCTCCTAATAATGAATCATACTTTCTCGCCTGACAATGACGTGATATCCCATGGCCCGTACATGAACCTTGCCGTGATAACTTGTGGTTTATCCTCCAGCACCATGACATCATTTCCCCTGTGATTTGGATATGAATTCTGTAAATGTAAACACTGCTTGAGAAGAGAAGTTTATTACTTGAATTCTTCCATTTGGATATTTTGTTTGTGTCCTAGATTACAACATTATAAAGGTATATGAAAATAACAATTGATTTAACAAGAGACTGGAATGAAACCTTTCTAACTGATTCTCATCTTTTTATCTTTATATCTTTTTATGCTTTATATCTTAAATAACCTTCACTGATTTAACAATATATCTAAAACAAGGGTTTTTTTCCCATTTAGCTTGATTTCTTTTGTCCTTGTAATCTACCTTGACTTTATGTCCTTTCTATAGCCTACCTTGACCTTTATGGTTGTTGCGCGTTTTAGCCATTTTTCACGTGCAGACTTCCCAATCAGACTGGACTGTAGATCTAAATCATCACCTATGTGCTCACACAGTGATGAATCGTACCGCAGCACCTGATAAATTATCAGAATAAATAAACTTTTACGATTTCTATTCCATTTACATGTAAGTGAATCTGGAGGGCAATAGATGCTGTGAGAATAATGTTACATTTGCTATTTTATAGTATCCAATAGCTTTCTTTATCATTCAATGCTTTAAAATCTATTTTACTTTAGAGGTATTAAACTTACCTGACGAAGGATAAAGGAAGTGACATCAGAAGATTCCCAGAAACTGGCATGGAAGAGATGTGGAAGGGCGGACATTGGAAATGTATGGAGGTCCTCAGGGCAATACAGAACATAGTCCACTCTTTTATTGCCCCACCACCGGCTGGTCACTATCAAATTATAAATCTAGGTCAATAAGCTGTAATACGGACTGTTCACTGTCAAATTATAAATCTAGGTCATTCAGCTGTAATACTGACAGTTTACTGTCAAATTATAAATCTTAGTGAGCAGGATATTCTACATGAAAGACTAATTTATATAAGACCAAATGTCTTATATAGAAGACATATTTAAGGTTTGATGTCCCACTCAAAAATACAGGCACTAAGAAATTTAAGTATTAAGTACTGCACTTGTTTTTTTTTTCACTGATTCATAGATGTTTTTACAAGTTACCTACAAAATCATGTCCCAAAGAACCAACAAAATTTTGCTTACCCATGAATAGCTGCAGAACTGTAGCCTTATGGTTTTATATCCCGTACGAAACAGTCCGGGCGGCTTAGACACGGCTCAGGCACGGATTCCGTCTCCAGAAATCCGTGCTTTAGCATTCCGTGCTCCTATGTAAAGTATGTATGGAAAGCCGTGCCTATAAGGGGTCGAGGCACGGACACGGCACGGGATATTGGCCGAAATATTTAAATGAGATCGCACGGTTTTACAAAACCCGTGTCAGGAAGCCGTGCTAGTTTCCATATATGGACTAACGGATTCTGTAAACCCGTGACGTCTGAAACCCGTGTCCTTTTCCATATATGGAGACATGGTTTTTTGGAAACCCGTGTCAAAAAAGCCGTGCCGTATACCATATAAGGAGTCACGGGATCTGTGCATTTGTTTAGATCTAGGTCATGGCCTTTAGAGAATCTCCTGATGTAACTGGATGCCAAAGTGGTGACTGAAACCAAACTAACTTCACATTGCTTTACATTAATGCTTAGTTTTAGAATTTCAAAAGTTAAAAATCTTATATGAATGTGTCCATTACTTTCTGTTAAAGATTAACTTTATCAGTTACAATCCATGCTAGTTTTTAATTAAGATTTTAATGATAATGTACAATATTCAATTGTAACTTAATCTGGTAGCTAAGTTTGCACTATCTGAGAATGAATTTAGTTTAAATAAAACTTTCACTAGCACAGTGATGTCACATAAAATATATCATATAAAGGATTAGTGAAAGTCCAACTAAAGTCATTCAAATAAACCTAAACTATTTCATCATGTTCATTGTCAATTAACATCGCAATACAGGAAGATCATGAAAATTGAAAAATTGACTTATTTATTCTAGATTACACTTACTGCATTTAGTTCAGAAGTGAAGAAATTATCCCAGATTGACATAAATACAATTCCAACTGACATCTATTAGTAAAATATCCTTTAAATAGAGCAAAAAGACACATTGACTTAGCTCATGACCATGAATCCCTCCAATTTAATATTCAAATAAAGGAAGTTATGATTGAGCATGCTCAGTAAAAAGCCGTGAGATAATAAATAAATAGTTTGAAGTAAAACCCGCCTGATCAAATAAAAATGGCCGCTTCTGGTCAAGGTGGTATTTTGTGCCAAGAAAAAAATTTAGACAACTCGACGAATTTGCAGCACTCCTGTGCTCCACATTTGAACCAACAGCCATCCGAAGCCAGTGACTTGCTAGTTGATTCACTAGGTTACAATTTTCCTGAGGAAAATGATGAGTTTGCACGCATTTTCACATCGCAAACTGTGAGTAGTGATTACAATGAACACACGAATGATCACTGTGTAATGCAAAACAACACCTTTGGTAGTTTTGGTAATTCTCAACCATCCTCTTGCAATGACGTAGTATTAAATCAATCAGATATTGAAGAACTAGATGTCCAACTTCAGAACTTGCCAAAAGATGTATACGTGGGCAAATTATTAGAAATGTGTTCAAACAATGAAAACATGATATGTTGGTATCGCAATGTTCTTTGTGCACGCGCAAAAACTCAAAACGACTGTCCTAAAGGAAATCTCATAAATAGAAAATCAACAAAAGCTAGTTCAAGTGCACAGAAATACGCAAAAGACTGCTTTACTCTGTTTATATTTATGCAAGGTGATAAGGCCGGTATTGAACTTATTTTTGATAAACAAAAGGGTAATGGCACTGATGTCTCTAAAATCAACATAGTTGAGCTTAGGGTTGTAGTTCAATCTCTGCTAGAACGTGTGTCTGAA